ACTCCAAACCAGAATATAGCCAGCCTCCAACCTCCAGGATCACCAGACACCACTCTCCAAGAAAAAGAAAAAGTGGAGAGTGGTGTATGGTGATCCTGGAGGTTGGAGGCTGGCTATATTCTGGTTTGGAGTGGGGAAAAATCCAGAAATATCTGGAGGCACATTGACTGGGTCTAGGATCCCAAAAAAATCCTAAAAGGTGTTTTTTCACCAATATCTGGTGAGTGCGGTATAATTTTTTGAGCACAATTTTTGGTGGAAGCACGATTTATTTCTTTGGGAAGAGGACTTTCAAGAATATTTATATTTTTTTTTTATTTAGATTGTTTTAATCATTTTTTATAATATAATAATTTTTTCACCAATTTGGAGTGGGACTTATAATTTTATATATATATAATTTTTTTTGCAGTGGGATTCATTTAAAATTCTTTTTGCGCTGTTTTAATGTTTTATATCCTCACTGTGTGTCAGATTGATAATTTTGATAATGTCTAGCTTGTCTCAGTTCTGAAGAACCAGGCAATCAGTGAAAAGTGTTTACTGATGCTCGAACTTTAGATACAGTTTTGTCATAAGACTTTTCCTCAAATGTGATTGTATGGATAAAGTGGCTTTTAATCATCTATTTGTAATAAAGTATTGCTATATTTTGTACTCAAGTGGTAAACAAGCATTCCAAACATTCCTGGGGTGGTCAATCTAAATCCCTTTCTTTTGTTCTTCATTTGGAAGGATTAAAATCCCTGTCTGGTTGCTCTCCAAGACTCCATTGGAGAGATTTCCACTCTCACTGTCCCAAAGACAACCTTTTCGTCAGACAGAAAGGGAAGAAAACTTTCTAACAACAGCATAGACAGACCTCTCTAATGGAGGCCCACACAGCAACAATAGAAACACACAAATAGGAAAAAAAAATACATGGACACCGACGCTCTTGTGTATGAGGGAGGACCAATCAGGGACATGCTAACTCTTACTAACATGGGTACATGGTTGGTCCTGAGATTGAATTGAAGAAATTAAGCAAATGTGCATATGGTGGGACTGGGATATCACTGTTACAGAAAACACAAGGCCCAGAGGAGCTCACAGCAAAGGAAGTCGCAGGAGCAGGTGTGCAGGAAGTGCTAGGGAAAACTGGAGGGACAGCCCCCAAGGAAGTAAGGGAAAGGCTTGCAGAGGAAGGCTGAGCCCTGGTCAGCAGCTTACTACCCAAATATGCTCCAGTTGACTACCTTGCTGTCCCCTGTAGCAGGGTTAATATAAGAGCAGAGCTTTTCTTGCCTGCCACCCATTCATACTCATTGGATTTAAGCACAGATGTTTCTAGGCATATAAATTGTGATAAGCAGAGCCTTTATTTTTTGACTGTGTTCTGTAAGGCAACCTTTGTCAATTTTAACTCATGTTAATTCATGTTCATTATTAAGTTGTAGATTTTATAATAAAACAGATTTTTATAATTAGTAACAAAAAATAGTTTTATTGTATTACAATGTTGTTAGCAGTAACAGTGTTTGTGTGTATAAGCTACCATTTCTCTTTACACATCATGCCCTTGATTGTGTTCTATAGGTGGCCACACAGTTGGAAGGCAGGGCCAGCAAACTTAATGACCAGCTACAGCACCAATCAGATCTGCACCAGGAGGCATTGCTTAGAGCCAAGAAAGCAGAACACCAGCTAGAGGAATTGCGATCACAGTTAACAGTGGCTGAAGGAGAACTTGTGTCTGGAGACGTCATGCGTGACAATCTCAGTTATGAAAAACAGAAGGTAGGAACTTTGCAGGCATTTAATTATTTCTAGTATTTGAACCATGCCTACACACACGACTTACTCCCTGGAAATAATTTTTCATCCAATTACATAACGTAACCTGACTAGTGTGTGTCAAAGGTTAAATCAGAAGCAGAACTGCTGGCAAAATACCATCACAGTGTCCTGAAGAGTAAAAAAGGCACTGTCGAGGTAATGTAGGAGGTAGCCCATTTGTTATCTTCGTACTGCTGTCATCTGCCTCTTTTCAACTTGTTTTTAAAGCAAGCCTATCATTAAATTTATTGTAAAAATGTAATAACCGCTGCATTTCTATTTACATAGGCTATTTCATGTGAAATCATAATGATATATATTGTAAGTGGATCACAGGAACATTTTCATTTATTGGGGTGTGTTTGATGCTGTCAAATTGTTTGACTTATTACAGTTCATAGGCTGAGGTAGTCTGTTGGTCATCAATGCCACATGACAGACTGATTACGAAATATTCCTAAAACTAGAAACCTGCATGGAAATTTGCTACAAGACTTATGAGGCTCTAAAACAGTTGAGAGAGTTTAAAAGCAGTGATGTCACTAGCAAAGAGGATGGATTCCACATTAGGTTTACTATACCAATGCTGCTTGTTACCATATGTACTGTATTGACTGGATGATATTCTAATACGTTTACTTTAAAGTGGAACCTATGGACATTCAGATCTTTACAATTATTAGCAAGGAGAAAATGAGTTACACCATGGCGTCTGCAGCTACAGAGGTCAATGAGAGCCTATGTAAAGCACGTTTACTTCTTGTTACAAATATGTAAATAGTTGAATGTTCATAGCCTGGCCATAGTTCTACTTCAGGTAATGCAAACTGATCAAGTAAACTGAAACTCTAAACTACATTGTAAGGGTGGTGCTTCAGTAAAGCCTCTGAAATGTGCAGTAGTTTAACTTTATGTGGTCATCTATCAAAACCTTAAAATTTAAGGTATGGGATGAATGTGTGCACCCCCACCACAAGTACTGTCTGGTGCCTGAACAACAAATTGCTAGGCCCAGGGTAGGTGGGGAATGTTGATGGCGTCATGCCTTAGCCTTTTCAAGTGTCAGCTTTTAGAAAGTAGGTACAAAATTGCATAATAACATTTCACAAATTTGAAATTTGTAGGAAATATTTTTTATTTTTTAAAAATATTCATGCATTTTTAATAAGGTTCTATCCAACTGATGCACAATTATACCTAAGACAAAATGGGGTAGATTTACTAAAACTGGAGCACTCAGAATCTGGTGCAGCTGTGTATGGTAGCCAATCAGCTTCTAACTTCAGCTTGTTCAATAAAGCTTTGGTAATAAGACCTGGAAGCTGATTGGTTTCTATGCAGAGTTGCACCAGATTTTGCATTCTCCAGTCTTGGTAAATCACCCCCAATATATAGTATCTTGTAAATGGCTATTACTTTCTAAATTATTTAACATTTATCATTCACATATAACTGCAAAGCCCCGTTTTCATGTTGAGTTCATGCTTGTAAGCTCTGCAAAATCTGTTTAGTAAAGATACAGGAAGCCAGATTTCGGTATCTAATAGGCATGCTGGCCTCAACCTTATTGAGTTTTTGTGGGAAGAGCTTTACTATAAGGTGAGAGAAAAACTCCCTACAAGCCAGTCATGCCCTCTGAGAAGAGCTACAGAAGGCGTGGGTTGACATTTCCCCTGATTATCTTCAAAACTGGACAGCTAGAATGATAAGGTTTGCAAAGCTGATGATTCTTTGATGAATGTAAAGTCTAATAACTAGAACAGTTATATGAAATAAAAATAATATTATGACCATATTAATGTATTATCATTGATATCTATAGTAAAGATGTTGATTGTGACATCTGTGATAAGCACACACCTAAGCATACCCTCAAATCTGAGTGGCTTCAAAATTGCATAGAAAATATCACACCACGTCTTTCAAAAAAAATTTACCGTAAATAATGCCCTAACTTCCTATCTATTTTTTTATGCCAAGTATTCAGTGCTGACATATTACGCATGATTTATTAGCATACATAGAATTTCCCACATCAGTCTTTGCTGCATAGAAGCTTAGAATCATAAGCTCAGTATTCATGTTACAGTATGACTGTACAACCTCTTTTACGTTGTAGATCTAACAACAACTTTGCAGTGTAAAGGCCTGCCTGATTGGATACAGATTGAATGGATAGTTTACGGTCCTCATGTTACATAGTTTTGGTAAATTAGAGAAGAATTCTAGGTATGGATATTTTATACATATTTATCAAGCTAATGCTCCTGGAAACTGGAAATCACTAAAGTTGACATCACTACTCTAGTGATTTCCACTTGCTTCCGAGTCCTGTACGGAATGGCTAGCCTGATGCATTATGAAAACAGTAGGGTGGCCACCAGGCATGGGTTCCATTAAAATAATGTTTTGCATTTTTTTGAATGAATGCAAAGTGTTCTCTGATTGGAAAATAAGCTCTCCACCTCATCCAATTACAGAATTCATTGAGAAAATGCAAAGCATTCCCTGGATGGCTCCCGTGCTGAACGGCCGACCTCCTGTGTTCAGGATGCAGCAGGTCACCCACTCAGTGCAGGACCCAGAAGCAAGCAGAAATCACTGGAGTAGCGGAGTCTACTTCAGTGATTTCCAGCTTCCAGGGGCTTTGGCCATGTATAGTATATGCATAGTTACATTGGTCCAAGATATCCATACCTGGAATTAATTTCAATGCTGATTGTGCACATTTTACGTTGTCAGATTGTAATGTGTATGTTACCGCTGTAGTCATATAAGCACATACATTGACTTTAGGGTGTTTTGGTCAGCAGCCAAATTAATCAACCAATATTTTCTGCAAACTGTTAGCAAAAAATTCTCTTCAAAGAATATGATTTCAGCTAACTTTTGACCCATTTTCCTAACTGATTATAGTATATTTTTTATTCATCTAAATGAGTGGTATTTTTCCAGACATGTAAATTCCTCATAAACTGAACATTTCACTTATCAGGTACAAGTGAATCATTTGAAGATACAGAGATATGGCATACTACTGTTTCATTTCAGTAGACACCTTCCAACTTATTTCTTCACTTTTCTAACTCTGGTACTTTCTGCAGTACATGAAGTTCTTGGAACAGCTGTCTGAAAAGATGAGATTGGACAGAATAAATGCTGATGTAGGTTTTGACATGCGTCTGGATGTCATCCTTGCCCGTGCAGATCAGTTGGTCAAACTGGAATCAGACGCTCTAGTTGAAAACAAGACACTTGCACATGGTCTGCAAAGAAAGGTAAATGTCACTATGTTTGTTACCATCAATTAGCTTAGTTTGCATTGCATCTTAGTGACATTAATATTGGTGACATATGGATATTTTTCATTAAATAATTTCTTACTCTGTTTTTTCTGCCTCCTTGGAACGTCCTCTTCTTTTCCCCTTCGCTCACTTTTGTTTGCGGTCATGTATGCTGCTCTATGCACGCTACAAATTCCATAGTCCATGGGCTATAGTTCCTAGTCCATTTTAGGATTGAGCAAAGTACTTACATACCATGGGGCCATGGAGAACAAAGGAAACTACCCTCTAACAGGAAGTCAGATCACAGCAACAAAAAAAAAAAAGGAAATCAATGAGGCTGTAAAAGTATCTAGCATTACTGAAGATATTTTTTTATTTTAACCACTTCCCGACCACCCTATAGCATGGCAATTAGTGTCATTGTTCCCACCCCAGCTAGTGTCACTCCGTGATCGGCGGAGCAGCTGACAGGTGAGTCAGGGAGGTAATGCCCAGCACATCCTATAGTAAAACCAACAAAGTCCACTCCCTATCACACAGCAACCCTTTGTCCCCAGCTAACCCTTTCCAGTGTTTAGTACTGATGCTTTTTATTAGCACATCACTGTGTTACACTGAAGTATAAAAAGATTGTCAGTTTCAAATGAGCAGGGTCATAGTTGCTGAGGACCATTTTTGGTTTCAAGAGCAGGGACATAGAGGACATTTTTTCACAGGTATCTGGTGACACTCTGGAAATTGGACAGTAAAGAAAACCATTTCCTTTTCCTTCTGATTCCATTATTTGTCCATTAGCTGTGGTGATTTTTTTCTGTTTTACTCTATAAAGATGAATAAGCAATTTCTGTCATTTGTCATGTGACTTGTAGCTCCTGAACCAACACACTATGCCTGTAAAGATGTGGTACAACTTTTAGATTGAAAAACATATTCATTTTCTGAAGAACAATCAATTTCTTCCTTCACACTTTTGGCCTTTTGTAATTTAGTTTGGTTTTGCATTTTAGCTTTCCAGATTCTGCAGTCTGTTTAAATGGCCTTGTTTCTTGCACACAAAGCATTCACATATTTCTTGTTGCATGTTACTGTTTCTCTCTGCAACAGAATCACTGTCACTATCAATGCTTTCTGTTTTACGCTTATATTCATCCATAAGCTTGTCCTTAACATATTCAAATGTCAGTTCCTCATCTGGATGTGTATCAAGTGCTGGGGACAAGCATTTCATATTTTGTAGTAAACCAGTAAGTAATAGTGCTGCGACATGAAAATCTTTTATTTCTTCTCCTATAGCTCTCAGGTGTTCAACCATTTCCAAAGTGTGCCTTACGTAATCCTATATATCCTGACCTTTCATCAGCTTGGTTTGGTATAGCTTTCTAATCAAATACAGTTTATTGTTGAGATTATCTCTTTCCTGCACCCTTTGTACTCCTTCCTGCATTTCATTAGCAGTTTCATACTTACTTATATGTATGATTTGATCATCTTCTATTCTAATAGAGATTGTGTTCTGAGTTTTCTGATCTTTCTCTATCCATTCATCTGAAGGATGGTCTGGCCTGCATTTATATATTTCCATGTACCTTCTCTTATTAGCAACATTTTGATCTTAAATTTCCAAGGCTGGTAGTTCTAATTTGTCAGATTTGCAAATGAAAGCTTTGTTGCCACTGTGTTACTGGCTATTTTCTTTTATTCTGTTGCAGTCTTCTTTCTGTTGCTGTATTTTGCATTTATTTGCAGTAGCTGGCTATGACTCTGCTTCATATGATTCTGGGCCCACAACCTGTTAGAAATTTAGTACATAGCCCTACAAAACAGACAGTGCACAGTCCACATGTGCTTTTCTGCTGCTCCACTGCAACAAGGAAACAGGAAATTTGTATTATTCATAGTTTTACCATAGATACAGCTACAAACTTATAAACACTGCCATCTACTGGTTGAAAAATATATCTCTACTGAATACTGATGTAGTTGTTGCTCAAAATACATGAACAGTGTATTCCAAATTCCAAGAAGCACCTCCACCTCCAGATGTGCTCACATTTTTTTAAGTAGAATTCATATTTTTTAAGTGACACTCATTTACTGGTTGTTTGACACTTGTTATTTGTTCATTGCTATTTTGACACAATAATTTTAAGTACAGTAGCACATTTTGTTTAGCGCAGCTCTCATGTAAATACACATATACACATTTTTTGAGGTTCTAATTGCATGTTGGGGAAGCACTTTTGAGAGCAGCAGCTGGGTATCTAAGGTTCATGTACACTGCAGCTGATAAACTCACATTCAGGAGCTTTTCTGCATTTTTTTCAGCAGCCGCTAATGTTTTCCTATGTGTCCATGTACACTATGTCGTTTTCAGTTGTTTACAGGCAGTTGAGTTTACAGTCGTTTTTTTGAAAGCACCAAACTTGAGTTCAGGAGTAGGTTTTATCAGCTTTTCAAACACCAAACATTTGTAAATGCGTGTAAATGCGGCTAACCTCGTTTATAAGCATTTGTGTTTAGAAGCGTTTTTTAACTGTTCCATATCCAAATGCTGTCCAGAGCCTTTTTTCATCATCAGAAATGCATGCAAAGCATTTTCCATGTATTCAAATGGACCTAGTAAACCAGTACAGTCAGTTCCAGGTTTTGCATGAAGGAAAAAATGGTAGAACGTGCTGCATTATGCTCATGATGGGATCCATAGTAAATACAACCAGAAAAGAAAGGTAATCTTAACACATACTGCTCTCTCTGCTTCTGCTCTCTCTATTCCTCTCAAAATGTCTGAAATAGTTAATTTTTTCACAGTTTTCCAGTGCATTCTGGGCATTTTGGAAGGTCTCTTGATGTTATCTTTAAACAATGCTTCTAAATGCAAATGCACATAAACGCGGTATGCAAACGCAGCTAAACAGATGTTTTTTAACCTATGTTTTCCAGCAGTCAGTTTCCATCGTTCAGAAGTGTTTTTCAAATGTCCCCGTGTACATGGAGCCTAACAGGGTGCATTTGTTTTCCTTGTCGGCTGTATTTGTTTTCCTTTTTAGGATTTTTCCCAGTAACACACCTCCTGTTCTAGTGTGACAATGCTCTCTCACTGTACTGTATCTATGGACAAGCAATGTCCTCATCCCAGGACAAGACTAGAGAACACCTCCCTGTTACTTCTTCTCCATACCATGGGAAGAGGTTTTCTTTTAGTCTGCATAAGCTGCAGAGCAGCTGCAGACTGCAGACCTGCAGAGCTGGTAACAATGCTAACTGATAACAGTACATAATCAATATTTTTTTTTCCACTTATCCAACAGATATAACAGAATTTAACAGTCCAAAAGTGAGCAAATTTGTTACATACACTTCAAATCATAAAGTTGTTTCTAATTCTAAATAATACAGAGAGTACCAGCTGGATAAATGAGAATAGATATCAGGGAATTCCTGTTGGCCAGCCAGCATGGAAACATGTCTTTTCTCACGGCTCTGCACAATGAATCATGGCTAGGTGCGTGCCTCCGCGCAGGAGTGTTAGTGTTCATTCTCTTGCTTCACGGTGTGTATGTGTGTTGGTTGTGTGTACACACCCACAGTCAGTACAGGCACCAGACAGCCTTTTAAAGGGATGCTCAGATTTATTTATTTCAGGTACTTATATAGCGCCGTCAATTTACGCAGCGCTTTACATATATACAGTCATGGCCGAAATTGTTGGCACCCTTGATATTTTTCCTGAAAATCAAGTATTTCACACAAAAAAAAGGTATTGCATTAACACATGTTTTGCTATACACATGTTTATTCCCTTTGTATGTATTGGAAACAAATATAAAACAGAGGCAGAAAGCAAATATGACATAATGTCACACAAAACCCCAAAAATGGGCTGGACAAAAGTATTGGCACCCTTAACTTAATATTTGGTTGCACACCCTTTGGAAAACATAACTGAAATCAGTCGCTTCTATAACCATCAATAAGCTTCTGACACCTCTCACCCGGAATTTTGGACCACTCTTCCTTTGCAAACAGCTCCAGGTCTCTCTTATTGGAAGGACACCTTTTCCCAACAGCAATTTTAAGATCTCTCCACAGGTGTTCAATGGGATTTAGATCTGGGCTCATTGCTGGCCACTTCAGAACTCTCCAGCGCTTCTTTGCCATCCATTTCTGAGTGCTTTTTGACGTATGTTTGGGGTCATTGTCCTGCTGGAAGACCCAGGATCTTGGACGCAAACCCAGCTTTCTGACACTGGGCCCTACAGTGCGACCCAAAATCCTTTGGTAATCCTCAGATTTCATGATGCCTTGCACACAGTCAAGGCACCCAGTGCCAGAGGCAGCAAAACAACCCCCCAAAACATCATTGAACCTCCACCATATTTTACCGTAGGTACTGTGTTTTGTTCTTTGTAGGCCTCATTCCGTTTTCGGTAAACAGTAGAATGATGTGCTTTTACGAAAAGCTCTATCTTGGTCTCATCTGTCCACAAGACGTTTTCCCAGAAGGCTTTTGGCTTACTCAAGTACATTTTGGCAAACTGTAGTCTTGCTTTTTTATGTCTCTGTGTCAGCAGTGGGGTCCTCCTGGGGTCTCCTGCCATAGCGTTTCATTTCATTTAAATGTCGACGGATAGTTCGCGCTGACACTGAGTGCTCCCTGAGCCTGCAGGACAGCTTGAATGTTATCTTTGGAACAATGTTTGGGGCTGCTTATCCACCATCCGGACTATTCTGCGTTGCAATCTTTCATCAATTTTCCTCATCCGTCCACGACCCAGGGAGATTAGCTACAGTGCCATGGGTTGCAAACTTCTTGATAATGTTGCGCACTGTGGACAAAGGCAAATCTAGTTCTCTGGAGATGGACTTGTAACCTTGAGATTGTTGATATTTTGCCACAATTTTGGTTCTCAGGTCCTCAGACAGTTCTCGTCTCCTCTTACTCTTGTCCATGCTTAGTGTGGCACAGACAGACACACAATGCAAGGTTAAGTGAACAGTCTCTCCTTTTTTATCTGCTTTCAGGTGTGATTTCTATATTGCCCACACCTGTTACTTGCCCCAGGTGAGTTTACAGGAGCATCACATGCTTGTAACATTCTTATTTATCCGCAGTTTGTGAAAGGGTGCCAATACTTTTGTCCAGCCCATTTTTGGACATGTTTGTGTGACATTATGTGCCTCCGCGCATTTTAGCTTTCTTTCCTCCCGGTTTTTTTGTTTTGTCCCAATACACACAAAGGGAATAAACATGTGTATAGCAAAACATGTGTTAATGCAATACGTTTCGTGAGAAATACATGATTTCCTGGAGAAATATCATAGGGTGCCAACAATTTCGGCCTTGACTGTATATATTGTACATTCACATCAATCCCTAACCCTCAAGGGGTGTACAATCTAAGGTCCCTAACTCACATTCATACATATACATATCAGGGCCAATTTAGACAGGATCCAATTAACCTAACAGCATGTCTTTGGAGTGTAGGAGGAAACCAGAGTACCTGGAGGAAACCCACACAGACACAGGGAGAACATGCAAACTCCAGGCAGGTGCTGCTGTGGCTGGGATTTGAACCAACAACCCTAGTGCTGCCAGGTGGAAGTGCTAACCATTTAGCCACTGTGCTAAATGGTTCTTTGTGTTCTGACCTGTGTCCTGCATGTGATTCTTGTTACTGATATGGCTCTTTCCTGACCTGATTTCAGATTCTGCTCTGTACTGCTGCCTCCTAGTTTCTGGTCTTGGCTTTGTCCACAACCTTGATTCAGCTTATTATTTTGTACTGTGCTGCCCACTTGTTGCTGGACCAGTCTCTGATTCTGTTCCATACAATCAGCTAGTGCCAGCTCTGCACTCCTTCAGAACCAGCTGCAATTGCCTATGTGCATTCTTGTCACCTGCCTGCTGGGATGACTGGTGGATTCTGCCCAGCTGAAGCTCCCCTTTCCATTAATACCTCAACTGACACTTCTTGCTGTATACTCTTCTTGATCTCCCTGGTTGGCATCTTCAGTCTGAGGTTCTGCGATCAACATCTTCCAGCACTCAAGTTTCTCCTTTCCCTTGACACCATCTGTGTAACTTCCAGGGGTGCTTGTGCAGGACATACAAGAGAGGCCACCCTCGTCATTATAGTCTCCTATCAGTAGGTGTCCAAAGTATGAGGAGGATTGCAAACTTCTTTGCCTACAGGCCTGATGAGGAAAATGTTAGTAGTTTTCACTTGTCTCATCTATCAGAAGAACAATGTTCTGTTTTATTCATAAGCAAGAACACAACACATGCAAGTTTACAACAAATATATTTTTACCTCAATGCTAAACTCCAGGTATGATCTTAATTGCATATTTACATTGGTCCAGCTTGGAGAGACATGAATAAAACATTTAAATACATTAAGGGTGTGAATAAGGTTTAGGAGGGCAGTATTTTCAATATGAAACTAAGATCAAGAATGTAACGACATGACTTCAATTTAGCAGGGGGAAAGTTCTACATGAATCTAGAAACTATTATCTCTAAGAGGAGTCGATACTGATGAGGTAGTGAGTCCGTCAATAGTAGATGTAATCAAACAGTCTTGATGGACTTGGTCTTTTTCTGCTGTCACTCATCTATGTTTCTGTGTTGTTAAAAACTGTGATCAGTGGGGATATGTTATATTTGCTGGCCAGAGCCTGGGGTACAATTAATTAGCTACTGGATAAAGGTAAACATTTGAGGCATATAAGCGGAAGACAAATAACTTACTGATGTAATCAATCTTCTTCAGCTAAAAGCCCAGAAGGAAAAGTTTGAAAGCAAAGAACTTCACATGGAGCTCCTGAGGAAAAAAATCACCCAGTTAGAAGAAGAAAAACAAGTCCGCACAGCTCTGGCAGTGGAGAGAGATGAGGCCAACCTGACAGTCCGGACTTTGCAGAAGAAGGTGGAGAGGTTGCAGAAAGAATTAGGTGCAGCTCAGCAATCTGTCACAGAGCTTAAATCCAGACTCGCAGACACTAATGAGTTAAAGGTGAGCAGTTCATTGTACCTTTCTTATGAGTAATTGGTATGTATAGGTTTACAAATGGTTTATGTACATGTATATCTTAAGACTTTAAGACTTTTCTATAAGCCCACAAATGTGAAAACCAGTTCTGGTTTTACCATTGAAAATGACATTCGACCACTAGTGTTGGGTATGGCCAAAGCTGTCAACAAGGGAAGTAAGTCATGCAAAAGTACATTCTCTGGGCTCCAGCTGTAACGGAGCTGGGCTATTTTTTTTTCAACTTTAAAGGGCATCTTATATGACTTTAAGATAAACATTTCAATAATAACTCACACCATATTGTTTCTCTAAAATCCAGCTCAAGCCAAAACATTTTTTAACGTTTTAGATAAACTTGCTTGCTATGTAGGAAGGGTATGAAGGCAGTTCCATAGTTAACCAACACTAACTTAAAAGGGTCTATGTATAATGAAAAATTGCTGGACAAAATGTTACAGACATTTGTCTAGCTGGGAATAAATGTCACCTTATTTTACTTTATATATTGATTTTCTATGATCGTTAGCACCATCTGGTGACCATAATGTTTTTTTTTTCTGAAATACTTTAGTCAGGGAATGTACCACTAGATGGAGCTTACGATCATAGGAAATCAATATATTAAGTCTCAGCTAAATGCATACTTATGACATTGGTCTAACAAATGTTTTATACATAGACCCCAAAGTGAAATTTACTTTTGCTGAAAAAAAAAATCAGTATATGTTGCAACGATTTTAGCAAACATCATTGCAAAGTCTTCCAGCCTTTTGTTCTGTTGAAACTGCTTAGATTTCAATCCAACCCTTTCCTAATTTCAGTCCCAGTGTTGCAATGAGAGAAAAGAGAGAAAAACAGCTTGGGAAACCAGAAAATGAGCTGGATATAACAGTTATTAAACAGTGTACAGAATGTCCCCAATGTTGGTTTAATGGTTTATTTAACTATAAAGTATATGTAAACCCAATCACTAAAATCTCATATAAGCTTTAACATGTAAAAAAGGCATTTGCGGTATTTTAAAATCTTCAGTTTTAGTTAATTAACAAATAGTGATCCTGCTATGAAAATCCTTGTTCAAGTGCGTCCTGTTCTAGGGTGACAACTCTTTTTCCATCTCTCCTTCTTGTGCCATGTGTAGTCACACAGGCTTTCAATAAAGACTACAAGTAGTTATTTAAGACAAATTGCACAGGTTTGGTTCACTGTTCTTCCCATCAGGAAACCTGTCCTTAAAAATATCATGCAGCCCTGCACTGAATGTATGTAAACAGAGAGCGGCTGAAAAGAGACTGCAGGAGATCAGCAGCACTGAGGTGCAACAAAAGATGAAATATAAAAAAAAAAATAGAGGAACTTGTTTATGATTCAGATCATTTTTGCACACTAAACTTCACTATGTTAGGTTTTACATCTACTTAAAAAATATTTGTTAGTCTTATATAATCATTGTTCAATGTAGATGAAAGGGAACAAGCATTTACAAAAAGTGGGACTTTTTAGGCACTGTGGTAGATCACATCACTAATATTATTGGGCAAATTCCACATGTGCTGCCCCAACATTAGTTGATCTGCTGATAATCTGATACTCTGTCGTGGGGGATAATGGAGTCAATATTGTTGTGATAGGATGTACCTTACTGTCAGCCATGATTTTATCATGTTTTTATGACTTTGTTAGAAAAAACATTATCTACATTTTACTTATATTTGATATATAGGTATACTGTGTATAAAGATGCCACATATGTAACAATTACCGTATTTATACCAAAGATTTAAAGAAAAGGACATTTACTATTATTGTGTTCTTTCTAGCTGAAACTCCCCATATATAACACTAGAGGTCAGGATAACATTAGGACAGGAGAAAACATGCTTATTATGAGTTTCAGTGAACCATGGTATCTCTAACAGCAATATAGTGAACACAAGGTGTACATAAAAGTATACCCTATGATGGTAAATTAACAGAGAAGTGGTCAGCTGATTAAGTATCATCCAGAGTCAAAAAGCATATCCCAGTTTTTATATCTCCTTGTCGAATATTTGCATTCTCTATTGGTAGTAAAAATAGTTAACACAAAGGTAGTATTCAAATGCATATGTCTCTTTAGATTAAAACACTGGAACAACATAAAACTATTGGAAAGCTGAACAAATCTATGGAACAACTTGAGAAAGTTAAAGGCAAGACTGAAAAAAGGTTACTGTCTGTAAAATCAGAGCTAGACTTTACAGAACGAGAAGCAAAAGAGGAAAAAGAAAAAACAGGAAACTACATAGAAGTGATCACCAGTGAACTGAAGACACTTAAGAAGACCTTAGAAGATGTTTCCAAGAGGGAAAAACAGGTAATGGATTTGTCTAAATAAGTTCAGAAATTAGGTTATGTGTAATGAAATGGAATGACACAGGGAAAAAAGTTCCCTAACGCTAACTGAAATTTAATTAATATTTCGTACAAAATCCTTCATTGGTAATGACAGCTTCAAGATGCCTCCTGTATGGAGAAATTAGTTGCATGCATTGCTTTGGTGTGATTTTGGCCCATTCTTTTTCACAAACAGTCTTCAAATCTTCTTTCCATATATTTTCTATTGGATTCAAGTCAGGTGACTGGGCCATTCTAGCAGCTCTGTTTTATTTCTTTGAAATTAACTGAGAGTTTCCTTGACTTATAAATGTAGCACTACCCTCTTGAGGGCCACTGTGTTCCTGGGTCCCCCTTAGCTTTGCACAGCCAGGCAACACACTTTTTTCCACACTTGCATCCACAATCAGTGAGAAGTCCATGAGCTTGTTTTGTTGTTTTATTAGGGGGAAATAACTTGGATAGGGTAATAGGATGCCCAACTTGAATAAAGCAATGCACAGGGACAACTTCCTTCCTATGTACAAAGAAAGATCCTGGACTGTTCTCCTCCCCAAATTAGGCTAGTTTCTATGGATAAGTAGCAAAAGCCCTTTATGGACTAAGAACTCTCAGGCCTCTTAGAAAGTTAGCACAGATTGTTGCAATCTACATGCAGAAGTATCTCCTCTCCCCTGTAGAACAGCTCCCAGCTCCACAGCCTGCAGACACTACCAGCCCTCCTGGCTGCTCTGAAGATCTTCCAGGACAAGGATAAAGAGTTAAGTACAGCACCGTCCTTTGAATGCTTGCTACATGTGAAAGTCTTTCCTCTTATGAATCCCTGGGTGTGCTGATGTACTCACTCTGTCCTCCTTGCTCCCACTGCTCCCAGGCAAGAAACCTGTTCAAACTGATGCTGAATGGATCTTCCTGAGCCAGCCTGAGCTCAGCCTGGAGGCAAAGGCCCCTCTAGACCTAGGGGACCCCGTCAAGGCCACCGACAGCCTCCTCAGCACTGCTCTCCCATATTTATGGGCTAGTCTTACCACACTACTGGGGCCTCCTAGCCTAGGATTGGTCATACTCCCATAAATATGCAAATTTAGGTCTCCACCCTTTCTGCCCACTGGCTTCTGGAAGCTTCTATAGGCCTCCAGGTCCAGATGGAGGCGATAGAGTCCCAACCTGCTAAGTCTCCTAGCCTGACCTGCAGTAACCCAACCTAATTGCAGACTCACACAAGTACCATGAGTCATACCATAATAAATTTACCTACATTAACAATAGTAGCACACTAGAGGGTGCTACATACAGTACTGTGCAAACTTTATAGGCAGGTGTGAAATAATGCTGTAAAGTAAGAATTCTTTCAAAAATGTATATTTGAATTGTTTATTTTTATTAATTTACAAAATGCAAAGTGAGCAAACAAAAGAAAAATCTATATCAACTCAATATTTGGTGTTCCTACCCTGTATCCTCAATGCTGAGAATTACAGGTAGATATTTATCATGTCATACCATCAGGGAGGCATGTGATTGGCCCCAAATCTATTCTGCAGCAGGACAATGACCCCAAACATACAGCCAATGTCAATAAGAACTATCTTCAGTGTAAAGAAGAATAAGGAGTCCTGGAAGTGATGGTTTGACCTCACAGAGCCCTAATCTCAACATCATGGAGTCTGTCTGGGCAGAGGCTTGAAGCTTGTGGGCCCTGATGCAAAAGTTGACCTGGGGCTCCCTACTACCCGCTGCTTCCACCACACGCCAAGTTACTCCAGGTGTAAAGAGTTATTTCAGATCTTTATTTACATAATGAGAGGGTAATTATCCACTTCAATACTGGGCAATTTCACCCCCTTCCTGCCCAGGCCAGTTTTCAGCTTTCGTGTTTTGAATGACATTTGCACAGTTATGCAACACTGTACCAAAATGTCATGCAAATAGAGCTTTCTTTTGGTGGTATTGTTCACCACTGGGTTTTTTTATTCTTTGCTAAACAAATTAAAAAGGACCAAAGGGACACAACTCACCACCGAATGTCACGCTGCATGCCCCGAGGGGTGCGCATGCGCAGCAAGAATGGGAGAATATCATATGACATCCTCCCAGAATGGGAGCGGTCCCTCCCAGCCGTCATTCAACAATTGGCCAGGTGGGAACCAGTTAAAAAGATTTTGGGAAACTGTCAACATTTTGAGATATCGCTCCAATTCTTTTGCACACCCTCTAGCAGGGGTAGGCAATCTTTGAGAGGTGGAGATCTATCTTAACAACATGAAAGAGATCAAAGTTCAATGGGGTTCAGCGGCTTTTTTTTTTTTTTTTTAAAGAAATAAACTAGCAAGGCCTAACTAAATAGTAAGGAAAACATAGAAAAACATAATGTCACTGTAAAAACATAAACTTAGCTTTCCTTAGTAGTAGGGCAGTGGATGGAGTAAGCCAGAAGAGCAGTGGATCGTGTCAGACAGTAAAGCAGTGGATGGTGTTAGTAGAGCAGTGGATGGTGTCAGTAGGGCAGTGAATGGTGTCAGTAAAGCAGAGGATGGTGTCAGTAGGGCAGTGGATGGTGTCATTAAGGTAGTGGACGGTGTCAGTAAGGCAGTAAACGGTGTCAGTAAGGCAGTAAACGGTGTCAGTAGTTTTTTATTTTTGTTATTTGATTTTTTATTATTTTTTACCATTTTGGTTTTTTTTTTTTTTACAATTTAATTTTTTACTATTTTTTACAATTTTTAGCAGGCCTATTGGGGGACTTTGGTGAAGTATCAGGGGTCTAAACAGACCTCTGATGTCTCACTTTTGAGTAAGAAGAAGATTGAGTACACAGTCCTCAACCCCCATCTCTGCAGCCTTGGCTGCACAGATAAATGAATAGGAAGCACTCTGAGACATCCTGTTCATTCACAAACTAAAGCATAGGAAACAGTTTACTCTGCCTCAGTTATGAGTGAACATAGTGAGTGATGGGTACAGATCACTCAGTGTGTTCATTCAGTAAAGGAAGGGGATGGTAAATATAACATATTTACCAGCCCCCCCCCCCCCCACTCTCCATCCTGAAATAATCCTTCACAGCAGCTGGTGGGAGGGGGCAGGGGAGCATACGGGGGCCTGGGGGCAGCAGAACTAAGAGTAACCCAGACAGAGGGATGGCGGTGGTGTCATATGCAGGAACTGATCATCACTTTCCGTCTTCCTCCTGCAGCTGCTGAATGTCAGGGAGAGGGAGAAGAGGAGAAGCTGGCTTTCAGCGGTTGAAGGAGGAAGATGGGGGGCTTAGGTTCTTCTATATGCCACCCCTCCTGTCTGGGTGTAAAACCAAATGTGTCAGGGAGGCTGCTTTGAGCATGGGTGAGGTCGTCATTGCGACCCCTTACACTGGGGTAGTGTTGGGGTCCCTTCTTGTCACACAGTGGTCCTCCTGCTGCCTGCACACTACAAGTCCCAGCATGTCCAGGACTCACATCCCCTCCCCCTTACTGGCTTCTGTCACTCACCCACACATGGGATGTCCCCAGTACCGGGGAAGTCCGGGAAGTCTCATTCCCTTAATGTTAATGTTTGGGAGTCCCCCAGTCCTAAGTCCTGGACTGTAGGGTGCTCTCAGTCCCTCCACATCCCTCCTCCTCCTCCCATAATTTTCTCTCACCTACTCCCACTTGATCCATCTCAAGCTGAAGAGCATATACCCCTGGCTGGGGCTGCTCCATGACTGAATGTGGATCAGACGGGCAACATAAGAAGAGGGAGGTGAGGGGAGAGTCTGAGATTACATGAAGAGACTTGAGGTAGCCTACATCCACAAGACTGCTATATACTGCTGATAAGAAAAGGTATTTAGCAGTTTCTATTTACAAAAATGATTACATTTCCATGTTGTGTGTATTGTGGGAGACCAGATATAGTGAATTCAGGGTCCTGGGTTTAGTAACACTTTAATGGCTTGAACAACCTATGAAATATCTTCAATTAAAGTGACTGTAAAAGTAATTTTTTAAAAATAAAAACCATGGTATTCTTACCTGCTCTGTGCAATGGTTTTGCACATACCATCCCCGATCCTCCTCTTCTCGGGTCCCCCTGCTGTCACTCCTGGATCCTCCTCTCACCGAGTGAACCCCATAGCAAGTCGCTTGCTCGCTCCTGAGCCCTGCTCTGTGTGTCCCTCCTCATTGGCTGTGATTGACAGCAGTGGCTCCTGCTACTGTCTCTGAGCCTATAAGGAGTGACAGAGCCGAGAGAGGCCACTGTTCTCTCTCATGTACTCTCTCTCTCTCTCTCTCCCCCCCCTCTCTCTCTCTCTCTCTCTCTCTCTCTCTCTCTCTCTCTCTCTCTCTCTCTCTGGACCAAGATCGTGTTCAGGTAAGTATAGGGACAGGGAGTGGGGTATCTGCACTGAGAAGGTTTTATACTTTTATGCAGAGAATGCACTAGAACAAGCCCTGTTGAATGGGACTAACTACTACTAGGTACAGTATAGATACAGACAGCAGTGCAAGCTTGATATATGTTGTACCCATCCCAGCACCATCTGAATGCCTACTTTAAAGAGTAATTCTTTTTCTGATTAAAAAAAGCAATCCCCTCTGGGTGACCAATGTACAATGCAAGGAGTTTAACAAACTTTGTTGCAGATTTCTACCTGTTTCTGATAGAAAGAAAAACACTATTTAAGCTCAGACTGATTCTGAATGAGTCTGATTCAGTATACTCATCTGGTACACTCTCAGTGTTCTGGTGGGAAAAGTTTCAGTGTCTGCCTCCCTTTAGAAGTATTTAACCCTTAGGGAGTACCTCATCAAAAATGAAATTACAATTGCAGAGGATACCTAAAATTAGACTTTTAGTACAGATTTCTGTGAAAATCAGTGAGCCAATCACAGAAGCAGGAAATTACATTCCTTG